AAAATCTAGCTAAAATAATAACAGCAATTAACACTTACTAAATGTTTTCTCTATACCAGAACATGCATGATCTCATTTTATCTTCACAACAGCCCTATAAGGTAATAACTAAATATCACCATTTTAATAGATAACACTGAAGCTTATAAAAGTGAAGGCATTTTCCAGGCAGAGAAAGACAATTATCAAATGATTTCACTCATCTGTGGAATGTAAGAACAAAGAAAAAGCTGAAGGAACAAAACAGCAGCAGACTCACAGAACCCAAGAATTAGGCTAACAGTTACCAAAGGGAAAGGGACTGGGGGTGAGGGTGGGAAGGGAGGGAGAAGGGGAATAAGGGGCATTATGATTGGCACACATAACGTAGGGGAGGGACACAGGGAAGGCAGTATAGCACAGAGAAGACAAGTAGTGATTCTATAGCATCTTACTACGCTGATGGACAGTGACTGTAATGGAGTATGTGATGGGGACTTGATAATGGGGAAGTCTAGTAACCATATTGTTGCTCATGTAATTGTACATTAATAATACCAAAATAAAATTTTTTTAAAAAGTGAAGACATTTTCTTAATCTAGACAGCCTAGCAGTGGCAGATCCAGGATTCCAACTCGGCTCCATGTGACTCTAGAGCTAGCACCCTTTAGCCTGCAGCCTCCGCAGACCTGCCATGTCAGAACAGTGGCCGCCTGCTACAAGAGGCTGCTGCTGAGCACTTGGTATAGAGCAAGGCTGAACTGAAATGTGCCTTGAGGATAAAAGACACACCAGTTTTCTAAGACCTGGAACAGCAAATCAGAAAATAAAATATTTCTGATCATTTTAATATGTGTTGAAATAATGTTTTACACCTATCAAGTTAAATAAAATATATTTTTCAAATTAAACTCACCTGCTATTGGAAATTTTTCAAGTATAAATGTAGCTCACATTAAATATCTACTGGACAGTGCTGGTCTAGTCCCATTTGGTTCTGAAATGAATTGTTTTGCATTTCTTCTCTGATTTTAGTCTATAGCCTCCTTATGACAAAAATAGTAAGACTAGGGGAGGTGGCAAATATAATTACAGGAGGAGTACACTGTGCCAGCCTGAACCTCAAGGAAGGGGAAAGGTGCTGTCACAGGAGGGACAGCGGAGGTAGGCATGCTTAGACTGGCAGGCAGGTGACGTGGGAGGAGATGTGAGCTGTGTCTTACCTGCAGGGGGGTTCCCGTGTGAAGATCAAATAGACCAGACAATGAGGTGCCTCCACACTGCAGGAATTATCTAGTCATGGAACTTGCTGTTGCTGAATGCCTGCTACGTGTAAGTTTCTGCAATCTTGACTGAGTTCAAAGAGGCCCAGAGTTGTTTAGAAAGAGTGACTTTCCCTTCCTGCTCATCACAGCCTCCACCGCACTGCAGTGTGAGAAGAGATAAAAGAAGAACCCCAGCGCACGGAAGGGAAGGCTGTGCCCCGCTGATATACCCGGACCCCTGGCTCAGAGCCCCAGAGCACCAAGGCCCCATCTCAGAAATCAGAGCCAACGCTGAGGCGAAGCCTGTGGTGGAGAACATGGGAGGGAAGTAAAGTCTCAGGTATATTTGTGCCAGATTGTGAATTTATCTGGAGTCTGTCCTAAAAGAAATGCTACTGAAGGTGTAGCATTGCAAGGCAAGTTAACACCAGGTTGGCAAGAGGGACAGCATTGTGGAATTTAATTGAAAAAGACTGAAAGGTTTCCTCATTTTCCAGAAGCGCATGCCAAATGTGACACTGGCAAGATGGGAGACTGCTGCAGACTGCCAGCAAGGGCCCTGGTGAGACTTCTAAATTCTTCCTCTAGATGTTAAACTTCACTATAAACCCATCTCTAACGTCCTTTCCATTTCTGAAATTCTTTGACCCTGTCATGCTGCAATGCAGTTGGGTCTTGTTTTTTTTCCTCTTCCCACATGTTTCTGAAGAATAAGTGACAGAATGTTTACTGATCACATGTAAGCCATAGGATGTGCATGCAATGTGAATATACCGTAATAAAAATAACCATCCAAACTCACAGTAAATATTTCAGTTCCAACCATCCTAGCTACAATCTCTGTCATACAGAAAATAATATGACTTCCATTCTATGGGCCAAATGAAATGAAATTTTCCAAAATATTACAGTTGTCCTGGTTGTCATGCTAACGTGGTTTTAATGAAATGAAAGAGCTAAGAGTGGAATGGTGGCACATGTCTGCTAACCTAGCCCTTGAAGTTGCCAGACTGGTTTCCGTGTCTTGTAGATATTCATCATCCTTATGATTTACTCACAACCACATTCATGGTGGATGGTATTCTTGGGGCATAGGACCTTTGCTGGGTGCCCCTCATACGTGACTTTCCAACACAAAGTGGGTCCTAGTGAGCACTCATTGTACTGATAAGAAAACTAAAGTTCAGAGACCTTTGTCCCCACAATAGTATGGCATCTCTCTAGGTCCCATGCTCTCCCCAGGACCCTGTGCCACCTTTTAGCACTTCCACATAGACATCCAAATATCAGAAGAGAGTGTTCATGTACCCCTATCTCACTGTGAATTCTCTGAAGGCTATAAACGTTCTATTCCTTCCACTGTTCCCCAAGATTCGGAATCCTTTCTCTACCCCAGTCACTTTCCAATGACCTTTCCCCATCCACCTTCCCCCAATGCCCCAATTTCTACCGTTGTTGACCTAACTGGCATCTAATCAGTATCTTCACCCAATTCATTGACAAGGACTTGGCTGTGGAGTTGGGAAGGCCCAGGTCCCAGGCCAGCTCTACCGCCTACTAATGCTGTGATCAGGGTCAAGTTACTGAAAATAGCTAGGCTTCAGTTCCCCACTTGGAAAGGGAAAAGTATCTGTACTCCCTCCCAGAAAAGTAGGGGTAAAGGGGCAGGGCAACTAAGGAAAAAGCCAATCAGGCATAGGCAGGAAATGACCTTGTCTGGAGAGAAGAGGAGTTTGGGTTGTGGCACACTGCAGGTAAGGGGCATGACGTAGCATTAACAGCATGGACTCCAGAGCCAGCAGCCCTGGGTTCAAGTCCGTGGGCTGCCTTGGTGTCTTCCTCTGTTTAACAAGAATAGTAAGAATATCTACCTCACTTAAGGAAGCTGCCTCATGGATCCTAGCCAGGAACCCTGTTACAACAACCTCTATCCATTTTGAGACAGTTTATTAGCAGGGGAGGTACCTATAGTTCCAACACAGTCTTCAGTCCTGGGGAAGGCTGGCCTCTCAAGGATTTGTTTGTTTATTCATTCAAAAAATATGTGTTGAGCACCTGCTATGTGCCAGATATTATTCTAAACACCTGGCGTACATCAGTGAACAAAACATGCCTGACCTCATGGAGTTTGCAACCGTAGTAAGAATAAATGGCAGACAATAAACAAGCAAATCATACAGTACATCAGAGAGGATAAGTATATAGTGTAAGAAACAGGGCAGCACAAAGACAGTGGGAAGGCAGGTGCCACATTAAGGAGAGTCAAGCTCAACCTCATGGAGAAAATGACATTTGACTAGAAGAATACCAGGGGGAGGAATATTCCAGACAGAGGCAGCTGTCAGTGCAAATGTTCTCAAGGGGTGCATGCCTGCTGCTACAGAGGAACAGCAAGGAGACCACAGGAAACAGACTGGAATGAGGGAGGGGCAAACTGATGGGTCAGAGATTCAGGTCCAGATTGTAGAAGGACTTGTGCACAAAGGACTGAGCTCCTGCTCTCGGTGAGCTCAGAGGCGTGGCAGGAATTTAAACAGAAGAGGGCAGTGAGCTCTCTGATACTTGAAATTGCTCTGGTGACAGCAGACCACAGCCAAGGAAGCGTGAAGCAGGGAGACAGGTAAGTTCTCACAATAATCCTTAGGAACACGGTGGCAGTGCTTGGACCAAGTGACAGCACAGGAGACGTAAGTGATCGGATTTTGGGCACCATATTTTTTTTTTGCATTTTTTTCCTTTTTCACTTTTACTGTGGTAAAATACACAGACCATAAAATGTACCATCTTGGCCATTTTTAAGTGTACAGTTCAGTGGTATTAAACACATTCACACTGTGTTATATGGCCATCCCCTATAACCCTTTCCCCCTTGTAAAACTGAAACTTGGACATTTTTTAAAGTAGAGACAGACCTCCTGATGGTGGATATTGGTCAGACATCAGAAGCACATCATTTGGACAGAATGTGGCCCAGGAAGTCACCACTGGGCTGTGGACACCACTTCTACCGAACTGGTCTGCTAGAGATATTTCCACAGAGAACCCTGGACCACTGCTGGACCAGGAGCTGCAGGCCGAGGTTTTCATAGTGTGGCAGCCTCTTGTCCAAGAACATTATCCTATTGTCCAGAGGGTCCTGAAGGATTTCCCTTACATGTTCTTAGAAACACAGCAAAGGAGTTTGAAAAGCTGGAAGCATTCTGCGAGGCCCAGGGGTCACCATGGATGCAGCGACAGTCAGACGGATGCTAGAGCAAAGACACATGCCGGAGTTTTGGAGCCAGGCCTGGGGCCAGCTCCCCCAGGGGAGGGAAGACCCTTCCCCCAAGGCACTGGGCCCCCACATACGGCAAGGAACAGAGAGTCCACAGCCACCTCTACCAGAGGTCCCAGAGACCCCCTACTGCTTCCCACTCCATCTCAGCCTAAGCTCACATGCCCCTTATGTCTGCAGACCTGAAAACACCAGGACAGTTGGGAGCCAGTGGAAGTCCCAAAGGACCAACCCAGGGGATGGCAACAGTTCTGGGTAAAGGGCCATATTAGACTCTGTGGCCAACAGACTTCTCAGCTCTGTTGTTGGAGGGCAGAAGCAGCTGTAGCGCCACAGGTCAACAAAAAAGCATGGCTGTGTCCCCATAAAGCTTCATTCATGAAACTGAAATAGAAATTTTGTGTAATTTTCACATATCACAAAATTATTTTCTCTTGATTTTTTTCCCCCAACCATTTAAAAATGTAAAAACCATTCTTACCCTGCCGGCCAAACAAAACCAGGCAGTGGCTGGATTTGGCCCACCTGCCACGGTTCAAGGACCCTGGACTAAACCGTGTGCCTTGGGAGCCACCAGGGCAGTCCCAAGGGCCAGGCCTGCGTTCCAGGGCACCTGCTGGCTCTGGTGGAAGGGAGGACCCTGCACCCGCTCCCTCCAGGGCTCCAGGCAGCAGGAGCCTCAAGGTCATGCCCCCAGCGAGGTCTTCCCCCAGCCCCAGCCCCAGCTCAGTGGAGACAGCTTTAACAGAGGTGCCAAGGGTGGGCCCGCTGCCAACTAACAGAAGCTGCACAAATCAGATCACAGCACCTGCCCTTCATGACACCTTCCTGCCACCTACTGGAAACTGTTATAATAAACAGTTCTATACCAAGTAGGAATTTGAGTGGCAATTTTTCTCCGGTTTTGCAATTATCATTCGTTCAGTTTAAGTTAGCGAGCAACTAACTCACAGGAGTCCCAGAAGATGTCGTGTAAATGACAAAAAGATCTCTCTTCCACAACTTTTGGAACTGGGTGATGGGAGGGAGGAGGGCGGAGGAAGGAGGCGATGCTGTGCTGTTCTTGCCCGTCGTTGCAGGCTGGACTGGTGCTCTGCCAGACGCTGAAGGTGTTCTGCAAACAGAAAGCCTTTCTCAGGTAAGTGAGTCCCACCAGCTTGTTTCTACCCAACTCTAGAGTGACAGAAAAGAGGTCATTCGCACCTGCTGGTTCAAGCACTCTGCATGGCAGCCCTTCTGCGGGGCAGTCGGCCACATGGCAGTGCACAGCAGCTCCGAATCTGAAAGGACTCTGAGCTGAGGCCCAGGAGAACCCGAGGGAGGCCAAGCTCTTCCAGTGACCCCATGATCCCGGGTCAGCGCCTGGCCTCCTCCTGCCTCAGTTTCACTACCGGAGGTTGTGACCTCACAGAAGTTATGTGACGAGGAAATGAACACCCTTTGCACATAATTAGCATGTGCAATCCTGGGATGGAGAGGCTGGAGTGAGAACAGGGCACTGGAGGAAAGTGTCTGCTTCTACTAACACCAGGAAGCACGGGGAGAGAGTCGGTAACATGGCTCTAGGCTTCGGGACCCAGCGATGAATGCCCAGGTGTCAAGAGGAAGAAGGAAAAGGGTCAGAGATGGTGACCAAGGGGTATTTACAAAGCTATAAGGGCCACCATCTCTAAGTTAAACCAAAACCTCTGTATTCACTAGGGAAACGCAGAGGAAAAGAACAGCAGTGATCTGTGTCCCCTGCCCCCAAGTCTGACATTTCCAGCACTCTCAGGCAAGGAGAGAAGCCAGGTCAAGTTCCCACAGCAAAACAGGTGTGGGCACAGAGAAGGCTCCAGAAGCCCAAGGTGCCCGTCAGCTAAGACGCAGGGGACCTGGGATGCCTAGAGCTCCGTGTAGTGGGGCCTGGAGTGGGGGCAAGATGAAGTGCAAATGTGAGATTCAGATCTGGTAACAAAATTGTCTAAGGAAGGGCCAGTGGATCTGTGTTATGACAGCTGCACAGGAGCAGCCTGGTGTGAGTGTGAGGACAATGGGTCTTTGTGGGTACACAGTGGGGGAGGAGGGGGCAGTACAACAGGCCACAGGCCCTTCAGAGCTCTCTAGGACCCTGGGAAAGGGATGCTGCAAGGGAAAGGCTGAGTATTATGGCTCAGCCAACCCCCTTTCCGCCATGAACTGACAAATCCCTCGATCAGCTCTAACCAGCTTCCATCTCCTCATCCGCGGACAACTCCTGTCAGAGCGTGGGACCTCTGTGGGCCTGGCATGTTGTGCAGACTACCTTCTTCAAGCCCAGAGGGACTCAGCAAGACGCCCACGGTGTGCAAAACGCAGGCTGTGGTTTGATTCCGCTCTGACCGGAGTTAGGAAGGTGAGGCCCCAGGGGCCCACCAGCAGTTATCTCAGGAAACCCGAGAGACAAACGCTCAAGCTATCCTTCCTCCCTTCCTTTCCCGCTGCCCCGTCTCCCACCACCCAGCCACCAGCAGCCCCCACGAGTCAGGTCCGCCGACACAGCTGCCCGTGGCTCCGCAAGTGGAACCCCGTCCTCAGGGAGTGGGCACTGTGTCCTGCGCTGCCTGCCAAGCCACCGGCACAAAGTCCTCCTGCCCTCACCCCACCCCCACAATCTGAGCCGAATTATACATTTTAGTGGGAATCTGAAGACCCTGGAATAAGCCAAGGGAAGAATAACAGACCTGAGATGGGAGCCTGGCATCTGGCCCTGACTACATCGCTGGAGACATGCTTTGGCCTCCATCTACCACTCTCATGGGATATTCCTCTATTTGTTCAGAACTTGGACATATGGGGATGTATTTACTGTATCTGCTCAGAGACCCCAACACTTCCCGAGTCCTGCCCCGATCCTCCTCTTCTCAGTAAAGGATTGGGAACTGACAGTGAAGGGTCATGAGAAAGGCCCCACCTGGCTGCGGCTGGGCCTGGGACCTCCACCTGACCACCCCCCGGGGGCACTCAGAAGGGCTCACTCTGGCCCCAGCGCCAGATGTGCAGTTGTGTCAAGCCCTGTGCTCCCTGGTTAGAATCAACCCAAGAACGAGGGGAGGAGGATTCGGACAGTTTTAAACCTAAAATGGTTGAGCAATCACTAACTCGGCAGAGTTAACCAGGAAGTGGTTACTTTACCTCTATCAATCATAGAAGACAAAGAAGCCAGACTGGAACTGAGAAGATCGTGGGAGCTGCACTTCTCTGATGCCCAAGCCTGCGGGCAAGCTCTGGCCAGCCACAAAGGCCCTTCCTGCAGCCTGTGGCTCTAACCCTCACGACGGTGCGTGCCACGGCTGCACCTGCGGACGCCAACTCCCTGCCCCTCCCGCAGGCCGTCCTTGTGGCCAGATTGTCACACAGTGTGAGATATATCACACGAAATTGCAAAGGGGGGTAGCAAGTTCCCTTGGATCCACTGATTATAATCAATGTTGCTGCCTTCCGGTAGGAATGGCCCATTTGCAGGGAAAGTCGATGAACTTCAGACCATAAACAAAGATCTAGCCTTCCAAGCTTTCCGAGGATTCCGCCCCAAGGAGACCATGCACCACCGCGCCTGCTGCTCCACCGCCCCTGCAGGGTTGTCGTGTGCGCCCGTCAGAGCCGCTGGCCTTCGGGGGACACCACCCGACACTGACGGGCCGGTGGGCTGCGCAGTGCCCCATTCAAGCCTGCAGACACAGAGCGTGCCGGGCTGGCCGCCAGGTCTGGGTCAACGAGCAGCCCAAGTAGGCGACAAACGTGCTGTAAGGACTGTGGGTTGTCGCCATTGGGGTCCCCCATCACTGTTCCCTCTGCCATCCACCTGCACATTGGAAGAGCCTCCAACGGCAGGAGAGGAGATCCTATATGAGGTGGCCTCTGAGCCCCAGAAAGTGAGAGAGATTGTGCCCTAATCTCGGTGGGCAGGAGAAGCTCTGAGGACCTCCCAAAGGAGGGGCCACAATAATGTAAAATAGCCCTACAAACCTTTAAAAGGTACCCAGCGTTGAAGTGCACATTTGAAACCTCCTAAGTGTCCAACAACCTAAGCATAGTTATAATTAATAATAACTGTTTAACTGAGGGGGGGCCGTTTCTATTCACTAATATGACCACATTGCATCTTTAAAATGCATCCAAGAAACGGAAATGTTCATGGTGATTTTCTCTGATAGTAACAAATTTTTCCTCCTTGCATTTTTCTGTATTCTTACAAATTGTATTGTTCCTAAAATCCTAAAACCATCTTTGCTTTAAAAAAGAAAGGACATTTGGAAGCAAGTGAGGATTATATGAAAGAGCACGTTCCCCAAGAAGATAAGCAGTTGGAGTGCTTGACCTTGGGCAAAAAGAAAACACCATGTGCTTCCAACAGAGGCAGTGGGTGGCCCCAGGAAGCCTGCTCTGGCGGCTGCATTTGGAGGAGCTGGGCCAGGCCTGGAGGGTCTCCCTCCCAAACAGGACCAGATGCTGCCTGCTGAGGGAAGAGCTACCATGGTGAAAGTTTAGCATGAGGGGTGGCATGGCAGATGGAGCTGAGAAAGGGACATGTGGGGGCAGGGGGTCCAGTGGTCAGAGATTGCAAACCTGGGGCTGACTTCCTGGCTTCAGGGTCAGGGGCAAGCACTTTAACACAGCCTCCCCAACAAGGCTTCTCCCAGGAGGGTGACGGTGCCCCCAACACATACCCCACTGCCACTCAGAGCACAGTCCCTCCCTCCCCAGTGCTCCTCAACTGTACTTTAACAGCCTGAGCTAGCATCTTTTTCCTGTTCAAATAACCTACTCTTTTCATAAAAACTATATCAATTTACCAATCATGCACACAAATCAACTTTCTGAGAGCACTTGGGAGAGGGCCTGCACAGAGCAAATGGCAATGCCTGTGGCACCCGTGGGACTTTGGGACAATCTGGGAGCGTGCCATTAGGGAGACGCATGAGCTCTGCTCTGTCCTTCCCTGCTGCATCACAGAAGTTGCGGGTCATCACAACTTTTGTGATGACAATCTGTACATAGCGTCAATGAAAAATTCTGTTACTCTTTTTTATTGTGGTAAAATATATATAACATAGAACATACCGTTTATAGGTATACAACTCAGTGGCATTAAGTACATTCACACTGCTGTGTGTGCAGCCACCACCACCCATCCCCAGAGCTATTCCATCTTCCCAAACTGACATTCTGTGCCCACTAAACACTAACTCCCCATCCTACTTTGCCTGCAGCTGCTGGCAACCACCATTCTACTTTCTGTCTCAGTGAATTTGATTCCAGGTCCTTGATGCTAGTGGAGTCATACAATGTTTGTATCGAGATCTTGTAGGTATTTTGTTAGATTTCTTCCTAGATATTTGGTGGTTTTGATGTTCTTATTAAAAAGTGCTTTTATTTCATTTTCTAATTGTCATTATATATGAATACAATTAATTGTTTATTGACTGTGTCCTGTGACCTTAACCGAATCCTATTAGTCTAGTGGTCTTATTCCCATATTCCATGGGATTTTCTACATACAGCACAAAGTCAAACTAACGACAGTTTCACTACTTCTTTTCCAATCTGCATGCTTTGTCTACTCTGGAGGTTAGAAATAAAGATGGGAAGCATTTGGGGATTATTGAACAAATGTTCATTTATTCATTTCCTAAATAGTCTTTGACTACTTGCTACATGTATGCTGCTGCCAGTAATGAAGGGAGTTCACAGATGCCCTTCATCAAGCTCTTGCTCTCCTAGTCAAGAGGAGACATATGTGTAACTATTGCTAATGC